AAAAAAAAAAAAAAAGAAAGAAAGAAAGAAAGAAAGAAAGAAAAGAAAAGATATAACCTATCTGGTGTTATGGAACCTTCGGTTTTAATTTCCAAAAGAAGCCAAGACTCCAGATTTCTTAAATGAAATTTCCCTATTTTAAAATTCTGTTAATGCAAACATATGTTTGGATTGAATTTAACTCAAAAGCTCACATTTTGTGATACGGGAAAATCATATACTATGGTATCTTGGAAATAGTAATAATCATTTAATAGCTGTTGTCATTTATATGCTGGCTTTTGTTTTAAAGCTAATTGGAAATAAGAATTCTAATGATTAAGATAATTTAAAGTGATCATTTTTATAAAAGGTCTTCAAGTTGCTTTTAAAGGGGTGCTATTAAAATGTTTAGACCATGGTGGCAACTTTATCAGAAATACACAATTTCTGTAGATGACTGTATAGCCTTTGACTGGATGTAGAAATTCTGTCATGTTTGGTAAAAAATTATTTTATCTCTTTTATATAGTCATTCCTGCCCTGCAAATTTACTGTTATAATTATCATAATAAGCCATGCTTTAATTAAAGTGCTTTTAGAAAATACACGTATAAATTCAAACCAAAGTATTAAGCTGAATGACAGCTCCATCAGATGTGTGACAAGCAAGCTGATGAAGGCTGGGACTGTCACCTAAAAAGCTGTGAGTACGTTTTAAATAAGCCACGATATCTTAGATGTTTTGAAAACATGTTACTGTTTCCTTTTAGCTGTGTTTTATTGGTAATAACATAACCTTGGTTTTAGAGCTCAGCAGAGCTATTATAATTGAATTTACATCCCAGGAAGAAAATAGATGGGGAGAAAGGATAAATGGTGATGTGACTTCACACCTGAACTGGAGATTTCTGACCATCTCCTGTGTGGGACTAGACATCACGTAGCTTCCTTCTGCCCAGCTTCTCTTAATTATTAGGTAAGTGCCAGTGCTAGGAAAGCAAGCCCCTGAGCAGGTGCTCAGCCTGCCCCTGGCCGGCTTCTTGGTGGCTTTGAGGTTTGGCTGCTTTGCCTGGATGTAACTGACTACCCTTCATTACCCGCTTTGTTCCTTTCCTCACCGGTGTTATAAATGTGTTTCTTTGGTACCTGAGTTTGAATTGCATTCATTTTAATTTTTTCAGTGTATTTTTGTCATTTTTACCTTATTTTTTATCGTGTTTTCTTTTGTTCTCTGACCACTTCTATTTAGTGAAACAATAAAAGAAAGAGAGTTTGTGTTTCTTTTTTGTTGCAATGTTAAGAACTTAGAAGAAACATCAATGAAGGGATGAACACAGCAGAACGAGCGAGTGGGGTCTTTATTTCAGGAACTGCCCCTCTGGCTACCTCATCAGCTTCAAGGATGTTTTTCATATACACCTTTTCTTCTTTGACTTAAGAATCAAGTAAAAATTATCCTCAGATTGATGCTTGATTTACTAAGATAGATGTTATTTCCTTTCTTTCACACTACTAATTACTTGCATCAGAAATTCGACATTTTAAATCCATAGTTTCCAACAGATCTTGCCTGTTCATGCCAATAGCGTGTCATAATCAGGAGGTGAAGGTGGAGAGGAGATCGTAGGAGCTGCCTGCCCCGGACATTCACGTCTGGCTGGTCAGGACGCTGTGAGGCTGCGTCTCCCCCCGGAAGGTCTTGTTACTGACCCATGGACAGTGTCTGCAGCAGGTTCTGGCTCTGTTTCTACATCAGATTACAGTGCAGGTTTCTGTGTGTGCATCTGTCTCTGTTCTTATTATATAGGAGCCTTGGTGCCCTCCCATGTCACCGGGAATTACTTGAAATTACTCAGGTAGTTTTTCCTCAAATAGACTTTTTGAAGCAAAGGAAGCTAAATGTCTTTGACAAGTATGTCTCTTAATCTGCCAGGGTCCTTTTGGGGACAACCCGGGCCCACAGCTACTGTGATTACCTAAAAAGGAATGGAAGTGCACTCCATCCCCCACTCCACTCACCCCATTCTCTGAACAAAGTTCTTGACTTAAGAGTTCAGTTTAGGCTGATCGTTTTTTCTAATTCTTTATCTGCAAAGCAGGAAAGATGACAATCTTTACACTCCAGACTCTGTTACTCTTTTGTGTGACGCTTTTCTCAGGGAATCTACGGCTCTCTATGCAGGGTCCAACCTCCCTGCCCCAAGTAGAGCATTACCCGTTTGCTTTTGCAACATGATAGATTATTTTCTCAGCCAGCCTCATAAAGAAATGTATCTTTCAACTGAATATTTAGACTAATTTTCTAAGTATTTTTTACCTAGTCCTGAGGAAACTTCTCATGGAAGTAGTTTCTCCTGGATAACTCGGCTGACTCACAGGCTGACCAGTGCTGCTGCAGAGGCCCAGGAGGTCTGCGGCACCTGTTTCCAAGCAACAGACGTGCCCTTTGATTAGCTGTCCTTGGGTTGTCAGATCTGCGATGCAGTATACGCAGAGCTAAGGATTTAACAAATCCTGAGGTCTAAAGTAAGGTCAATAGGTATAATCTTTCAGAAAGACAAACTCCAGAATGTTTCTTCTAATAATTGTTTTTTTCTTGGAATGTGGCTACCTAAGTAAGCTCCAAAAATAAGCTTCCCAGTTACCCAGTTTATCTTTTCTAACATTTCAATATTCCACTTTCAAAATACACAAATCACTTAAAATACCTCACAGTGTAATTTTTTAACTCTGTAAGTTTAAATAGACCTTGATGACAGGGTGGATTCATCAAGTTATTTCTCAGACCCTCCAGGCTCTGCTGCTCACGGCTTCTAATTTAGTTGCCCCCCCAGGCACCGGACGTTATTGCTAACAAAAGCACCTGCTCTGGATATCTGTTCAGCCGTAATT